GCCGAAAGCAATTCTTGTCTTTGCATAAGCTTTCACCAACACAAAAAGTTTACCTTTATTCGTCTTTTCAAATAAAGATTCTAATTGATATCACGTATATTCCCTTTTCCAACATCTGATTGATATCAAGCAATTTTGGTAGATTGTGGCACAATTTTTGTATTTATTGTTAGATTGAATTACAGAACGTACTCTTCTATATATTAATAGAGGAGACACTAAGTGAAAATCCTATGTGTTATCCAAAGAAGGTTTTAAAATTTTTTTAAGAAAAATTACTAAACTTTCTTAATAACATTATTATGTAAATAATAAGACTAAATTTATATCACATATACAATATATAACTATTAAACAAATATGGAAACAAGGAATATGTGGTAATTAAAATATTTAATGACTGGTTAGAAAATATATTAAAATATTTAATCCCACGTTTGGCGTGGGTCAAAATCTAGTACATTTGATAGGCTGATAAGATGAGTGTTAAGTTTCATGAGTTTTTAGCTCAAACTCAATTGGTATTGAATGGACCGGTACATGTTATTTCAAATTCATTTTTTTTTTAGTCGAAATTCTGATTCATTCATTAAACCGAAATAGCTTCCAAACCGGGATATGCCGGTTCATGATACAGAGATAATTTTGCTAATCTATCGGCTTTGGTATTACAATCCCTTGGGATGAAATTGAAAGAAGAGATTTACAGATCTTGGGAGAGTCTTTGGATGTCATGAATGATTCCATAGATCTCCAGATTTGAACCTTGTGAGTTGATGATGTCGATTAGTTGTTTGCAATCCGAGACCACGCTTCCGATTCTAAGGGATTGATGCGATGCTCGAAGCAAGCCTTCTCGCATGGCTAAAGCCTCTGCCATGAGTGCGCTCGAGATGTGAGATGCTCCCTTTGTTCCTTGTGCTAGAATCGAATTGTTGGAGGTACAAATGAGCCAGCCCAGTCCGGCGTCACATGTGGTCGAGTTCCAGGCTCCATCAGAGAAGCAACGTAATCCAGTCGTTGGTGAGTTTAATCGATCTTCCTGTGATAGAATAGCTTCTRTGTATCGTGGTCTTGCGCATCGATCCACTCTTTTGCATCGTTTATTGCCTTTGTCATTGTCTCTTCCACCGTGTAGATCATGTTGTTGAAAAGTTTGTTGTTTCGTGCTATCCACAGGTTCCATAGGATCCAAGGAGTCAAGGGTCCTGCTGCAATGCCGATAGGTGGTAGGCAGATAAGCATCTTCGAGAGAGTTAGCCCTGCCTGGAGGTCCGCTATTTGCTTGGAGTCAACTGGTGTT